GCAAAGACCACTGAAAATTATTTCTTCAAGCGTCGACACTTTCCTGGTACATCGGTGATCAATCAGTTGTACATCCGAAGAGAGGCCACTTCCATGAAGAGACACAAAGCTTTCAAAGAAAGCTTGGAACCGACTGTTATTCCATGTAAGCCAGGAAGTCATTCGAAGGATTCTAAACACGGCCAAAATAAAAGTGAGTTTCCAGAAGCGGAGCACTGTGCACTGCGCCAGTGCGATTGAACAGCCACTTTCCGGTGGACAGAACAAGGGACTGTGTCTACAAAAATAAAATGTGACGGTTGCGCCAAGGTTTGTATAAGACATACGGCCAGGGAACTTCACACCACAATAGGTGAGCTCACACAGAACACAAAATTTACCAGTGGCCCCCAAGATATGCCATCAATTGGTGCGCCGTGAACCGGAGAATCAGGGATCCAACCTGATGAAAAATTTGAAATTCCCCCAACCCATCAACCGTAAGATTTAGGCTACTGGACCAACCGACATGAATGACATTCAACACTGAGTTAGTGTGCCAATTCGTGCCTGATTCGTGATCCATTTGTCAACCTGGCAACTTACTCCACTGGTCTGACGAAGCTTTTGTGTCAAAAGTGGACTGGTCTGACGAAGCTTTTGTGTCACAAGTGAAACTTTGCTCGAGTATAGAACCACCGAATTATCATCGAGCTGTTCTGTCAGGAGCTGTCACAATATAGAACGACTGAACCCCTCTACAAATGTAAGGATCCGGTAGGTGGGAACACCTAGCAGACGCCTTTGAGAAGCGAATTCGACACTTTCTGTCTTTTGCAGATTTCTATTCGAAAAACAAACAGATTTTTGCGCCGATATGCAGTCAGTATCACGCGCTAATGCAGCTCACTGTCATTTTTCGAAAACTTTTTTAGCTAACATTTAGCGGCTAAATTCTTGCCGATTCGTTCACATGCCTGCAAGGCTTCGATGTTCTAGAATTGAAGGTAGAAAGTTACACTGTTGTAATCTCGGTTCGGAGTGTATGAATAAGTTGATCACAATCCAGGGGGTGATTAGAATCGAAACTGGGCAACAGGATTTGTCCCTAGCTTTGACCACAGTGGCCTCTGTTGCCTTAAGTCGAGGCCACACATCCGCGCTGACTGTTCAAAGTGTGGGGGGCACGCACAATGGGAAACTTACTCCCCAGCAAAAGTGAACAGATTCTCCTTGTTCACCAAAGTATTTGCGTCTTCACCGGACAACATTCGAACTTCGTCGGCCATGTCTTCCTGAGTCGGTTCGGTGAGTCGACGTTGGGTTCGTGTGAGTGGGTCGAACACAACCTGCAAACGAAACGTCCGCTCTGCACGAACAGCCGCATCAATCAGCGAGGATTGTAGTCGCTTCGTGGCGGCCCCGTTTCTCCCGCCGCTCCTAGAGGTGGCCACTGATGATTTCTCTGCTAACGATGCAGTGGGAACGGAGGCAGCCAACGCGGCCGGAGAGAGATTTGTATACAAACCCAGTTTGGACAATAGCTCCCGGAAATCGGACAACCTAGTCTGACGAAGAATCTGGAGAACAAATAGAATTGTGAGAGAATGAGTACACGGAGGCTGCAATCAACTGAAAGGATTTACTCCAACGACTGTGCACCTTACCTTGGCAGCGGTGGCTAGACCAATGCCGGGAATTCCGGAGAAGTAGTCACATCCGGATAGGATACCCATGTAGCGCAACGTGTTGTCGGTGAATTGATTGGGACGCATGCCACAACATAGTTCCCCAATTCCAGCGGTTACGGCAACCAAAACACCGGCGCCAGTGAGATCCAGTTTGAAAATAACCTGTGGGGACAGAGGCATGATAGCTCAATCGAACTCCGAAAATACACAGGCAGAGGTGCATCTGCTCATAGATATATTGGTACTGAGGTATTGCTAAATATTGTCAACCCGTGCAGACTTCAACGGCAACGATCAGGATGGATTTTCTGTGTGCTACCGAGAGCTCACCAGAAACATAGGAAACATAGCAACATCGTAGCGTGACCAGTACTCGGAACATACGGGGTGTAGCACTTAAAACCCACTGCGTATTAATTGTCGCCTGGAAGACAAAGAAAGAAAGAAAGCGTTCAGCTGTAGCACCCTTTAGGTGCCTAGCTGCCATGCCGCAGAAAGGAGGCACGAGGGCTGGGATACTGTTAGGTCGCCCAAGCCTAGACAGGGGAAGTCGAGTGGCGGAGGTCGGACCTTCCGGTCAGTAAATTCGCGCTCTAACCACTTGGGCCGTCTCGCCTCTCGTTCAAACCCATCCAGCCTCCAATATTTCAACTGCTTCATCTACTAGGTTCGGGTAGTCTTAAAACAAGCTAATAAGTCAGTGGGTCAGTCGTGGTACACTTGGAGTGAATAGCTGTGGTACACCTCAAATGAAGCACGAGGGCTGAGATACTGTCAGACAGGAGCACTCAAAAGCGCCGGGCGGGTTAGAATCCCGAACCTTCTGGTTAGTAGTCTCACGCTAAACACAATCTTTTTTCCTATTGGTTGCAAGGCAGCTGAGGGCTATTTTATTTGATCTATTTCTATTCGAGGGCAGTGGCCGCAGTGCGAACATAGGACAGACCATTCGAGTGTCAACTTGTCCACTTGTTGAGATGTACCGGTGGGTTAACCGCAACGGTCATACACTTCACATCCCGACATGGTCGACAATGGGCGAAACTCGTGTTTGATGCTGGCGCGAGATGAAAACGATAACCATGTTAGGGCAGGAGAACTGTTCAAACAGTAAAGCAAAGAAGCTGTATTTACCTGTCTACAACCGAAAAGAAGCAGGTCCGAATCCTCCGTTATCACCAGATCTGCGTAGCCTGCTCGATTGAGGTAGGCCAACTGAGCATCCGCCTCGTAGGGCGCAACGATACAGTCCACGCCCAAGTTACGCGCAGCCTGGAGGGCGAGAGATGAGAAGACGAGAGACGAGTCAGACTGCTAGTTCCGAAGAAGATACCAGTCACGGAGAAAGGTCAAGACGAGATTGTCTTAGAAGCACAATCCACACTTAAGCACTGTTGTGTTCTCGTAACTAGGCTATGAACCCGTAGTGAGAACTGAATGGGAAAAACTGTTATGAACCACAAAGAGAAGAAATAATAAAATGTCTATGCTACACAGACGGAAGTGGGGGTGGGGATGATAATAAAGCAAACCATGCATTGGAAACGGACAAAAATTCACTCAACTGACAAACCATCATCGATTAACGGAAATGTGTTTCGTCCAACCAGATGCCCATTAAGCTAATAAAAAACCTACCAGCCGGACAAGGAGCACAGCTGTTTGGTCTTGCTGTCAGCGTAGTTCCTCTACTTCAGGAAAACACACACAATTATCCCCATCTTTGAGATTGAGTATCCACCAACACCGAACCATGTGATCGATCCAGACCCAGTGAGAATACCTAGTCTTCCAGTCGACAAATATATTCGGTTTCGAAACGAAATTGGTGTTTTTAAAGGTGAAGATCTATTGCGGTTTCTATTATCTTGTGTTAAACTGATGTGTTGTCACTGACTCGGTTAGAATTTGAACAGGCCTAGGACTTCATCCCGCGACTCCTTTCCACTCGGATATTCAACAGTGAGAGGTCTTCATCGAATTTAGTTTCCTCGTAGTCAGAAAAAGCGACCAAACCCCTTTAATTCCGCAGAGATTATGCTCCCTCATATATTTTCCGCCTCCAGATTTTCACCAGCGCAGTAAAATGTTAGTAATTCTCGAACCTTGTGGATGGGAACCGAGATACCTGTTTCTTGCATGCAGTTATATGGTTGCGAGTTAAAACATGTACTATGGTGAACAATGAATATGGGGAATAGCCATACTTTCCCCAGTGTGCTGTCTTTTACCTCTCCTTGTTCTTTAAGCCCTTAGCGCTTCCTATCTATTTTCTCAGGAGGGCTGACCTTAACCATTAAAACGTTTGAAATTCCGAGTGACTTGGCATTCCAGTCAGATTGCGAATCAGCCGTTTACTTGCCGCACCAGAGTAATTTGTGTTCCTAATGCCGCAAATTTCTGAAGCTCGAACGAGATCCGTAGGTGCTATCCTTTTCTCTGACCACTTTTCACCTCGGCATGCGAACCACGGCCTTGAGTTTCAATAATGCCTCTTGTCAAATGACACGCAAACCATCCATAATCCGGTGACACTAGTTTTCATATTGAACCATTTACATTTGGTACAATCACATTACAGGAATATGTTGGTGCATGAAAAACAGATCGTTCAGCTGTAGCACCCTTTCGGTGCCTAGCTGCCATGCCATCCATAGGAAGCACGAGGACTGGGATACTGCCAGGTTGTCCGAGCCTAGACAGGGGAAGTCGAGAGGCAGAGGTCGGGTTCGAACCACGGACCTTCCGGGCAGTAAATTCGCGCTCAAACCACTTGGTCCATCTCGCCCTCGTTGATTCATGCCTGCTGCCCCGGTGGGATCGATGTAACGAGTGACTTATCTGACCTAGTTACAACCTTTGTCTCTTACCAATCGGTTGGTTTATTCCGATTCAGTCGACGAGGTTTCAAGATTAACCATCCTTGTCTATCCAACGGAATGTTTCTCAGCTCAATAAGGACAGCTTCAATTTCATGGCTGCAATAAACATGAAAATGCTGCGAATTCTGTAACCGGCAGCAGCTCACCACTGGAATGGTTGTCGTTCGTTGGAAGTGGTCCGGAATAACATGGGGCAGGTACTCCCACATGATTCCTCTGCATGTCACGAGTATCAGGTTGCTCAGGAATAACTTTTGCAGTACTTAACAGAGTGAAATGGGATCAGACAGTTGACACACACGCCCTATGACCAACACGGAAGGTACGTGATTGAATCACCATAAAATACCGAGTGTGATCAACTGATGGTGGGATTGAACTTTTCACATATTATCCGCAATATTTGTCCGAAGCTCGCACTACACTCGAAAGCCTAAAGCAGCAAGTGAAAGCTACTTAATGTGTTATACATTGTTACCGCAAAGCCCGTCCATTCGTGCTGACTTGCCAACCAACTGTGCCCATGGATACATGGGCTAAAGGGGCTTGAGAGTAGGGTAACCGGGAAATCGCAGATTTCCGACTGGCGGAGTGGGACTCAAGAGGTGTTCGCACGAGCCTGAGGATATCTACCAGTCATTTATCGAACTGGTGATAGGGCGAACCGTCCATAGCTAAGATCGGATGAATATGAGTACATGGGATTTATAAGCTTTTAGAGACGTTGCTTTTCCTTGGTACTTTGAGGTAAAAAAAACAAAATTACTCTTTCGGACATTTTGATCACCAGGAATACCGATAGTGATATCTCATTCCGTCTACGGAAATCCTACCTGGACCAAGAAGTACCTTAATTTAACGAGTTTCTGTCCCCTGTAACACAAGCATACTTTGGTTCAGAGTGATGCACAGTTAAGATACACTTGCTAAGATGGTTGGATTACCAAAACGTGTGCTGCGGTCAAACAATAGCCGTTTCGTTGAAAAGTACTTCAGAACGAGCGACAAAGAGGCGCACATCACAGTGCCAAAAAAGCCTATTCGCCTGAATTTCCCCAAAGCTGATGATCGCGCTCTTGGTCAGCTGGAACGCCCCTGCGCCGAACCTAGGCCACAGCACGGATAACCGCTGGGACATACACAAGGGCTATGCGATCACCGCCGATCAAAAGTCTAGCCAGTTTCACCAACTAGTCGTGCCATTCACCAGTCCACATGCAGTTGCGACGATATTGTTGTGTGTAGAACGGACCGGAAGCTAGAAACGCGAGCAAAAGGAATTTGTGCCACATCGGGATTATCCTGATTTAACTGGGAAGGAGTCGAAAACCAAGTAATCGATTACCAGTCATCTGGTCAAAACAGAACACAGAGCTGAACGTTACCCTTTTTGCAGGTCATAATAAGAACCAGTCAGCCATACAGATCGAAAATTCTCGACAGAATATTGACTTATCGATTCAGGCTTGTACTGTGCGCTCAAGAATGACTGGTGAGTGACTTTGGGGCTCCTTGGTTTTATTGATTGGTCTCGTTACAGTTCAGTCCCTTATGAACGATATAACTAGCCCTATATTTTGTTGTTTTACACGTATTGCGGCAAACGAGATCATACGGAATGAACTTAACCCGCAACACTGCTGTTCGCCCGAGGATCTCAACAGTGGCTGAAACGTCCGTTACGCCAGGATAATGCTCGCTACATCTCGAACGGCAATTGAGGACACGGCTCAGTGCGGTCAATGTCTATATGAAGTTAAGGAATCTTCAGAGTCCATCACAGGAATCTACAGTCAATCGGCACAGGTGCAGACGTGGCAGCACACCGCCATATCAGGGTAGCGCCTATCAGAGAAATGTTTGCGGCCAACTAGTCTTGTCCGAGGTGGACTGGTTAGAAGTGAAAGTGGGGCGGCGGCAGAGTCAGTTCAGTTTATTACCTACAAACTATATACCAGGGAAGAATTGATTGCAGCTGCTGCACTTCCAGTGGGACATAGCCAAGCGCCGAAGGCGACGGTATAATCACTTAGTTCGTATTAAAGGAAGTGAAGGAGTGAGAAACTGACAGCTACGTAGTGAAAACGATAGTGTTGACGTAGGAGCGTCACTGATTGTGTGAATGAGCCATACCTGATAGCGGTTATTAACCATTAATGAGTTCATTCCCGGAGTCCTCATGAGGGAGGGGGTAGTTTTTGACCCGACTGAGTTGGATGGTTCATGCGTTTAGAATACGTCGTCAAGTTATAGGCTGTCCATTTCTCAGTTGTCTCCACTCAGCACAGGCTTCCCAAAGGAGCTTTGGGAGGCAGACGGTCATTTGACATGCGAAGCACGTCCTATGAAGCGTGATTAACTCGTTTATCGTGGACGAATTTCTTTGTCTGAAAACCATCCAGCGTTGCTAACCCGACGTCCTCACTACACCTAGCGGACGCTTCGAAGACACAAATGGTTAAATACCGAGTTTCCACAAATGCTCTGTGCATAGAGGCCACCTTGAGGACTCACAGAGCGATATGGACCATACCGTCGCAGCGTATAGTTATCACCTGACAAGCTAACTGACTACACCAAGGCAATGGATGTCGAAGTTTGGAAAAAGCTGACCTATAATTCCCGATTCTACAAATGATTCTGTATCCAGCCAGTCTACCGGAACATATGCAATTGCCCAGGTAAACAAATTCATCTACGACGTCGACGGGTTGGCCTGTAAACAAGGTATTTGGGTATGATCACACCTGGTCTTCTAGCGGCAGGGATGGATCGAGGAATCAATATTGCCGCGTCTTGTATGTCAGATGTGCAAATGGGGCCAAGGATATGCACAACTAGTGAGCTCTAATAAGAGCAAAGTGCGAGTCAAGTGCTCTACCCTGTGGTGCGGGCTCACCAGAATGATTGCGCCAGGACAGGAGGACGATTGTTCAAACGAGTCATATGAGTGCGCATTCTACAAATCCGGCAACCGCCAACAGCAACTACTAATCAGTATTCTCGGGTGCTGGAAACGGTCAGCCGTTTTAGGATGATAATTATGTCGTTGCAGAAAGATGATGGTACTGACCTGGGCTATCTACTCATAGCCTGTAGGGTACGGGGAGACTAAACTTAAAAAACGAACGGATCTGGTGAACAAAGAAATTGTATAATATACATGAAAACAGCCTGACTTGAAGACGCTAGGAGAGGGGACTAATCAAGCAATAAACGTAGCCCCTATCAATTTATCGCAGAACTACCCCAAATGGGGAATTCCGGCTATATTAGGGGCAAAAGAACTTTGGTAGACTTTTGGTTAGAGGTTCGGACCGGAACTCTGCATCTCGGCTTTCCCTAACCAGGCTTCAGAAACTTGAAAGCATCCCAGTCATCGTGCTTCTTTCGGGTGACATAGCAGCTAGGTACCGAAAAGGTGTTACGGCTGAACGATTATTACTTATTTATTAGAGGTAAACAACACTAAGAATATGGACCATTTCAGAACTAAAGACAGTATCAAGCATACGGAGGGTAGTAATTAGCTGAAATTACCTTTAAAGGAAAGGCATTAGCGTGCGTCGTTGTAGTTTAACTGGCCAAAAAATAATATAAAAAAATCGTTCAGCTGTAGCATCCTTTCAGTGCCTAACTACCATGCCACCAGAGGGAAGCACGAGGACTGGGATACTGCTAGGTTCCCTAAACCTAGACAGAAGTCGATATGTAGAGGTCGGGTTCAAACCATGTAGCTTACGGTCATTAAAACTGCCCCCTAAACACGGAGTCATATCGCTGGTCAGCAAATAGGCAAGGATAATTCTTTGGTTTCCGATGCATCTACGAACTTGCTTCAATGACCCAACTATAAGCTGGTAGTCATTATCATAGAGTCCGAGGAACACAATGGACGATAAATACATCTAGTGTGAGAAGATACACACAACTATAAGCCTCACATATAGTAGCCGCAGACCGAGCGAGTGAAAGGCGAGTATCCGGACCGTTGAAAAATGTTTCAATAGGTGCAGACCAGCTGGGGTTTCTGAAATGAATCATCTCCAGTTTCGGAAGGAAAAACACGCCATTAGAAGTGAAATTGGACAGTGACCACCAAATGTTGTCACAGTGGATAGACTAAGAGGACGAACTTCGAAAGAAAACCTTGCTGGCGAAAAGTTCTCCATGACTCCTCATTGAGGTTCATAGTAGAATCGGAACATAATCGACCTCGGTTCAGTGAACCGACAAGAAATACGCAATTATGCCTTTAAACCAAAGCCGAAAGTACACCTCGACTTCAAGGTGTGTTTATACCACAGCCCAGTTGTCTCTGACAAAAATTAACAACAGATGAATTGCTCTCCAGACCTAAAATACCCGTCTGCATCCGATGTAGTCTACGCGCTCTCTTGCGGCTGCAGAAACACTTGCATAGACAGGACAGACATATATCTAGCGGAATGCGCAGAACACATTCCAAAGTATGTAATCCGGAGGTTGAAAGGTAAAACAGCAAATCTGCATCGTCAACTGTCAGATACCTGTTGGATATAGTGACCATCAGATTGAACCTCTAAACTCACTCCGAATCTTGTTTCGCAACACAAACCCCAGAATTCCATTAATAAGCGAAACGACACTCGTCAAATCAAACTGACCCCAAATGTGCACAAAACCGGCTGAAGCAAACGATTTGGTTACCCTGGTGTTGATCAAGCGACTTGCAGAAATTAACCGGTGTCAGGCATGTTTCACACCAGCAACCGAATAAGGCAGAGGAAATCGCAGCATGTCTACTGTCAGCTGGATGGGGTGGGTAAAGGGACACGATGCTTCAGATTCCTAAGTGGAATAGCACCAAAAAAGAGGCAATTCAAAGAGTATACGTTGTTGGGAGAATGGAGACCATTTGTCAAATCATCAGTGTTCTCAAGATGACCTTCCACATGCACCTATGTTATCATCACAGAGCGCAAACTACGCTTATGCGGCTGTCATGAACACATCTGGGCGTAAACAACATACAGATCGAATTACCTTCAACACATCATGAGCCATTTTCGAAGTGACAAAAACGGATCTCTGAAAGCATTCTTGTGCAGCTTCCCGGTTGCCCTGGAGAAGGTACTCAGCTGCCTTCTTCCGGTAGGATTCCTTGCTCCTAATGTCAGATGGTCAGTGAAAACGAAGTATGTTTTTTACTCTTTGCGCTTCAATTCGGTGTCGGCTTTCGATGGAAGATTGGCGCCATCGAATACCAAGATGGGTTTGATGTTGTACGTTAAAAGCATCTCTAAATACTTCAGCGTGTAGCGTATATACCTGAGTGAGTGAGACGGAAAATGGAATATTACTTACTGATCCGTTGGATTTCCGAGGGCCAAATCCATAGCACATGCGTAAGAAGACTTGTGCAACCAACAGTAGGCATCAACAGCCACCGTATAGCCATTAAATTCCTTGATGTTCACGGGACAGGAAGCCTTTTTGAGAAAAGGAAGCAGTCCGGAAATACCCATTAGGCTAAGACTGCACCGTTTTGGTCAGCTGAAAGCATAAATAGGTGAAGCAAATCAAGTCAGGTTTTGTGATTTCTTTTGGAATAACTCGGATGGATGGACCAGCTAGTGACAGGTTCATGGTTCCAACGATTTTGATTTCACATGGCTGAATAACCCGGCACTAGCCCAGCCCTCGAGCCTGTTGTATCGTGGGTGGCCATCTATGGGTTACGTCTGCCCTGAGTCTGCCAGACTACGCGATAGGGAGAAGACAAAGAACTGGGGACACGGCTGTATTGCCAGGACAAAACATACAGAGCGTCTGCGTAAATATATAGGATGATTACTTGGCCAAATATGGTCGTTCACTTGTTCACTTCGTACAGCCAATGGTGGTGTTCCGGTCGTGAACAATCTCAGGCCCACTACGCGGGTCGTGTGTTGCTAAGCCGTGTTTGGTGAGAACTTCCAACTCACCTACTTTCCGGACGTGTCGTACCGATGGTGACCTTGGGGATACGTCACTCTCTGCACTTGTGCTTTCCCCTCTGCCTGGGCGCACCCTGACAGAGCCACTTCCAAACTGCATCAGAATGATACTACAACTAAGCAATCCGTCCTCCTCGAGTCGGGTGGATGACCAATCCATTGAATAAGGCAGAGGACACCAGGAAGCCTCCGATGCCTGATAGTTTATAGTTTTGATTCGGACCACGGAGCATCCATAATGGGGTGATATTTCGCTAGAATACGCATGGGGGAATGATTCGATGGGCTTTCTTTCTTGAGTGCTGAATTTTGTAATCGTTGCTAAACTAAGCTGATCTTAGTTGCGCCAACGAATGTGTGAAGGGGGTAGTCTAACTTTTGTTTGTTAAATTTGCACTGTCTTAATGAGGAATTCTATCAGGTGGCTAGGCAGTCCACCTAGAAAATGACAGCATGAACACCATATCCAGCAGGATTTTCAATGGCCTGCAAGCAGGGTTACGTGGGCCCCGGTCAGGAAATGCGAAGGTCCCACGGCACTCGATTTAATGGCAGTCGCTTCTACTTCACTCTACTATGTCACGGACTGCCTCAAAGAACCATTAGCGAGCAGCCACTCGGAACAGCAAACAACGCTTTATTCGGTAGATGGTGGTTAGGCATACGTAATGTCTAAACTATCTCAATCTTCTGAGTTTAACCTGGGATCGGAATCATCATCAAGTGCAAGTTTAAGCACCTATTCGTTACGAAGCACTGAAGACAGCTAACATTTGCTATGCTGCAGAAACACCGACGACCAAACATTCGAAAACGCCATGGAGGAGAATCTCTGTGCATCTTTGAACATTGGGAGAAGCTCACCTAGTCCAGCAGTCCGACATCCCTTCAAGACAGAGAGCAATATTTCATCAGTTGAGGGCACCTAAGTTCACAAACAGCAGATAAAAATGGGCGAGTTGAGTGAAAGACAGAGACTCAAGGGTGGATAGCCAACTAAACTGTTGAAAAATTTCCGCCCAACGATATAGACGCTGGCCTTGCAATGCACTTCAAATATTACCTATGGACTAACCAAATTGCGGATGGTCTTTTAATTATTATTCTGTAAATTATCTGGGACAGGTTCCAAGCATTTCCAAACCCACTGGCCTCTTCAAATTTTCAAACCGTCTGATTCCACCACGTGGGAGTTGAACAACTCCCTGCTCACAGGCAGGCTACATTTTAGCGGACAATCACCAACTGACTGATTCCAAATAAAGATGAAACAGCTGTACAGTGGCTCTCGGCTTTTCAGCATACTGGCTTCATTTGCAGCACGAAATAACAACCATGAAGCTTTTTTGTGAGTCCTCGCGCTGGCTAGCCTACTGCTCATCGCTCAGCCCTGAAGGGTAATTTTGCACTTTTACACTCATGTCTTTCCGGTGAACCGAAGCCGCCGAAGAACGAAAATAAAAAACTCGATAGTCATCTCGCCCCTAGGGATCAGCGGGTGAACCTGAAACAGCTGGGGGCATCGTGATGCGGCGAGACTCGCAAACGTGAGAGTGCTCGCTCCTGACTGGCTCAAATTCCGGCCAATCAATGTGGTGCAGTGTGATGAACATGATTGATACTCTATCCATCGTTCTATTCATTATTCTCTCTTTTTAATATTCCATATGCTGTACATATACGCCACTTCGAATACATACGGGCTACTTGTTACGCTGATCTGAATTCTGGATTTCTACTTCGTCTGGTTACTCCAACATACGTGCGAAACTTAATTCGCACATGCATATTTGGGACTGCATCGCCGCTAAGATGCCAACACTTGAGAAATTGTTTATCCCCCGCTTATAAGACGGTCTGATCAGCTCTGCATCAGAATTAGGATGGCTGTTGAGTAGGACGCATTCCGATCCGTGAAATAACCAACAAAGTCCTCCAGTGAAGTGAAATAAAAGGATGGAAAAAATAGGACGAACAAATGTGGGTGAAACGGTCACATGAATCAGCAGTCAGACAGGCTTCCCCCCGAAATGAACGGTTACGCGCGTATCACAAATCATGCATTGCAACGAGAAATTCACAAACCCAACAACACCAAATTCCCACCAGATACCGCGCAATCCAGCTACAATCCCTGCTGGATTTGATTATCACCAACACAAGATCAAGAGTTACTCAAGGCCCCACCGTGACAGAGTGACCACTGTTTGTTTACGTTTGATTTTATCTGCTACTGAGTCAGAAATCCAAAACCTAAAAAGAATATTCGAAACTTCTGGTGTTGTGCGTTCTTGTATCTTTGCTTCAATTATAACGTTAAGTATTTTGTCATTTGCATAAATGCTTTTTCGTTTGAATGCGAAAAAACACAAAAACCCATTTGTACAATCACACGCATTGTAATCGTGGTCGCATGGCGGCATGCGTTTATGACGTTATGCTCGACGATATGCCACCCACTAGTTGGGAACAAACATTTTTGTTATTACTCGATTTTCTTCTCGGATTTCGCTCGCGCCTTCAACGGTCGTTCGCCAGTTTTAAATGCTAACTCTAGTATCAAAATATTTCAGATTGACTTGATATTTTAAGTGTGATATCTGTTCAACAGAGGACCCCTTGGAAAACGATGATTTGGTTACTATTTATTACCCAACCTGAGCTGACGACGAACTGTTTTAGAGAGAGCAAGTCTTCGTGAACCTGTTCCATCTGATCTCCATTACCATATACCAAAATAGCGGTATTATTTTTATTCCTCTGCCACGCATCCCTGTTGAAATAGCATTATGGATTGCCAGACCATTACACGGTACAGACATCTCAGGAATGCGCATCTTCCTTGAGCAATTCATACTGGGATTAGTTGGATTTGCAAGAGCTGTACAAGACCATTATACAGGGAGTAAACAGTGTTGATGTTAGTGTCGTCACAAAAACCACCGCACAGTTGGATGACCCAAAAACCACCTAAGAGGACTCAGCGTCTTCTGAATAAATGACCCCAACCCCTTTTAAGAGCTTACTACAGGAAACACAGAAGACGAGCTGGCATTAAGTAAAATGTGGAGCCGGTGTTAATCAGTGAAAAGTAGGAAAACAAGCCAAAATACTAGACCTCGTTCTGAAAAATTTGATGTATATATGTATGATGCTGTTGAAGAAATATTTAACTGCTTTCAACATGGGGACGAAAACGCGGAACTCCAAAGTGACCAAATATTGGCACCTGAGGTCCACTGAAATCCGTAAGCAGGACTGTGTCCTGTCCCGAAGAACTCGACACATCCAAACTTGACTTTTTATCGACTCGGCCTTCACGAAGTGGAAAAGTTGTCAACTCTTGCATAACCTCTTCAGGGCGTTGGGGCCAGGCGAGGTTCATCCAAGGATTTTGAAGGAAACGTCGCTTACACTGGGACAATACATCTACCTGGTGTTTTGTCAGCCACTCGGCGAATGTGATCCTGGCCCTGCTTGGAAGAAGTGATTGGTACGCCAATCTACAGAACTGGTGACCGACTCCTGCCCGCCATTTAAAGGTCTAGGGACCCCACTACGGCACCGTGAAGATTGATGGAATCTTTTCTGAAGCGGGGCACCCTAACTCGCCTCCCCCGTACCACATGGATTCATACCAATTCTTTCTAGTATGAAGAACGTGCTCGAGTTTACGGACAGTCTTACCCAGACTAAGGGCGAATGGCTCATATTGGATGCCACATTTGTCGTCTTCTTGAAAGCAATTGATCGAGCCTCACACATTCCGCTCCTCCGCACAATCGAGCCTAACGCGATCTAAGTGGAAATTATGTATCGGTTTGAGGTATTTCTCTCATACAGACCAGTGAGGGTGAAATAAGGCTCGACCTTTTTCTTCATCAATGCTCTCCTCCGGAGTCCCCCGAACCTCGGTATTGGGATAACTTATATTTCAGATCTAGGTCCACGACCTTTCCAATGTTCTCTGCGGACGGTTAGCAATCTTGGAGTTCCAACACCAGTGCCTTCAGAATAGATGTGAATGCCACGAAGCAGTGGCCGCTGGATTGACACATTCTCATGAGTGATAGAAAGCGCGTCTATTTATTGTTCGGAGGTGAACCATTGGCGCTTTTTGTGCATGGTGAGA